CTAGAACTCACTCTGTAGACCAGGCTGGCCTTGAGCTCACAGAGATCCACCTGCCTCTGCCTTCCAAGTGCTGGGATTAAAGGCGTGCGCCACCACTGCCTGGCTGTGCAACTTTTTTTTGGTGTTACTTGGGGGAGGAGACAGAATCTTCTAGTGCTGCCCACTGGAAAAAGCACAACAGTGCATTTTCTGACATTGATGGGATGTCAGACACTTGACATTCAGTACTTGATGATGTTATAGGACAACACTCATCTTAGGCCCTATAATGACAGCAAGGCTGAGTGACAAGAGTTCTGGACTGCATCCTGAAATTCCTAGGGATCCACTGCTGAGAGGAACGGCTGGGAGCTGACCATCTCTGAGGCTGGGTGATGTGTACAGGAGCGCTCATCACAACGTTCTTGTGTTTAGGTTTGCTGTTTTCCATAACAGCCTGCTTTACATGTGGAATACAGAAAGTTCTCAAGGAAGGTGTTTACCTAAGTGTGGCTTACCTGACCCTCTTGGGAAGGCATGGCGAATAACCTCCACAGAGGTGACAAGAGCCTTCTATGTGTCTGTGTGCTCTAGCAGCACTGTGGGTTTGCAGGCAGCAGCTTGTGCCAGGAGACAGCTAGGGTGCCCCCTCACTTCAGCCACCTGGTTCTGGCGGCATGCATGCTGCTCCTCTCAGCCTGCGGGGGCAGGTTTTCATGCTGGGCAGTGGAAGACAGAGGCCAAAGCCCTTACCTCGGGAGAAAGGGAGGAAGAGAAGCAAGAAAGCCTCCCAGAGTCAGGAAGGCGCCTGAGCTGAACCTGGGGGAAGAGGTGGTTGTCAGCCCCCGATGTTAGTTTCCTGTGCCCCCTTTTCTGTTCCTACTGCCAGGGCCCTCTCTGCTCCTGAGGGTGCCTTCAACTGATGTTTCTGTGACAATGTGGGAACTCTGGGAAAATGTCCCTTAACACCACACAGAGTCAGATTCTGGAAAGGCCTCTCCTGGTGCTTCTGAACTCAACTATTTAAAAAAGTCTGGAGAAGTGGGCCATCAAGTAGTAATTCTCTCCAGGTGACCATCTTGTTGTCCTGGTACTGTCTCAGAAGGCTGAAGGCAAGGCCTTCTTCAAGGCTGGGCAACCTTGTCTTGCTGTCACACCAGGGAGAGGCAGAGCCTCTGGCACTGCCCATTGGCTTAACAGGGAAGCTGATAATGTTGGTTGATTCTATGTTGCATTCCTTCAGGCCTAGGCATGTAGGCCTCAAATATTCCAGAATCTCAGTTGCATATCTTTAGGAGTGATTTATCTTGTGTGTTCCCTAGTCCCCTCCAACCTCAATGATCTAGGATTATCCTGTACCCACCTACCCCAGGTGGGAGTTGCTGTCACCCAGGGTAACATGAGCCTACTTCCATCCAGTCAGCCAACAAGAGCCCTACAACACACAATTAGCGACTTCTGTACATATCAGTTAAAGTGGTTTATAACTACAGCTGTTAGGATTCTGCCCCCACTGCAGCTGCATGACTGCACATGCCCAGTTCAGGATCTAAGCAAGGGGTCTTGTGTCTTATGTCATCAGTGTGCGCTGGTGATTACATGCGTGGCCACGCAATCAGTGCATGTGTGGCATAGCTCTGTAAGCCCACCTGTTCCTTAAAAAGCCAGACACAGAACCCCCTCCTCCCTTCTCTGTTCTCTCTTCCCCCCACTATCTCTTCTCTGTTCTTTCTCTCTGCATGTGATTCTCCCTAGGCCTGGTTCTTTTGTCCACCCCCTTCCTCCTAATGAAGCTCTGATACTGGGTTTTGTCATGGCTCGTGCCTCATGACCTTTCTGCATGGTAACCAGCACTGCTTATCATTTTTAACATTGGCGCTGTGACAAGACAGGCTCTTCCAGCGCTCTGCGTCTGGGGCTCTGCATCTGGAGTCCTGTACCTTGGTTTATTGGACCTGTGACTGCTCGCTCCACTTTTTTTCATTTGCCCAGCCACGGGGACCACTCCGCACAACCAGATTGGTGAGTTTCCTCTTTCTGATCCCTTGCCATTTCCCGAGACTGTAGCCTGAGATATATTCCTCATGCTGGACCCCCCGGGGGGGGGTCCTTGGCTGCATACCAGGACACATTCTCTCTTGACGAAGTATTGAATGCTGTCTGGACTCCTGGGGAGTCCTCCAGTATGTAGTTCAGCCCTTATCCCTTCCGTCACAGCAGTTCGGGTAGTTTGTGCTGTTAATTTATGCCAATCCATGGACTTCCTATCCTGGGGACACCGGGATAGGAGCCTGGGATCCTGTTTGTTATTTTAATTTTTTATTATTTTTCTCTTGGCTGCAGTCATGGGACATGGATGTTCCTCCTTGTGGTTCCACTCCTCCTTTGAGAAATGCCTTAGATATCCCCAGGTACCAGTAAATTTGGCAGCATAATGGCTGTTTGAACCCTGGTATTTTACAGGAGTTATCTAACTTCTGCCAGTGAACAGACAAATCAAAAGAGTTACCTTATCCCCATGCTTTTACCTAAGCTCTAAACCCTCCCTTTCTGATTCTCTCCTGTCTATGTGCATTCCTGAACCTAAGGAATCTCTGATTCCAAAAAACCTTATCTTATCTGTTCTGCACTATTTTCTGGTACTGGGCAGGCTGCTAAGCATGAACAGGTCTAGAAGCAGGCTAGGATGCATGCAAATAAGTTTACAATCAGGACCCACATGGTGATCATAATAATGCAGATGGCTCTTTAACCAGAGATCAGTTTATAGCCTGCCTCCTGGAGGGTCTTCCTAAAGCTGTCCTCAAACCATTGGGATCATAATAATCCAGATTGCTCTCTAGCCAGGGATCAGTTTATAGCCTGCCTCTTGGCGGGTGTTCCTAAAGCTGTCCTCCAGCCAGCAAACTATCAAACAAACAAACAAACAAACAAACAAAAAATTCAAGACACGGAATAAAATCCGTCTCTTGTCTCCCAGAGCTCCCTGACATTAGGGCTAAAATTTAAGCATCTGGAGAGCAAGGCTTCTGACCCCACAGGCAGAAGTTTCAGCTGTGGCATTTAAGATGTACCATGGGAGAGATGAGAAAGCCCATGAATAGAATTGCCAAATGCTGGCACATGCTATCTGAGCAGCTGCATAAAGACTTCCAGGTCCCTGTTTTAGAAGGCCATGCAGGCTAGTGCATGCCCTGCTGGGCCATCAATTGGGCCTTGTTCAAAGTGCCACCTAGAGAGGTAACTGGTCAGCTGACTGCCCCTGGGCACCCAGTGGTGTGGGGATATCAAACTAAGACCTCCAACAGACCTCCTAGGCTTGGCCATGGGCTCACAGGGAACCCAGGATGCAGCATGGGGGGCCATCTGTTTCCTTCCTGTTGGACACTGAGGCATTTACTCAGTCCTGAGGGAGTTTTAGGGTCCCATCTCTCCTCATTTCCCTATTGTTGGGGTAGGGGGACAGCCTTACCCACCTCACCAGACTTAATTATACTTTCAGGGTTACTTAATGGGAAGAGATTTCCCAGCTAAGGTAGGAGCTTTCATTTCATTGCTCCCTCCATATGCCTCACTCCAGACCAGTCAGAAGTGCTTCTCATCCTTGTGCACACAGACAGGGCCTGGCTCTCTCTCAAGTTCCAGAGGACCTCAGGATTCACAGCCTTGTCCCCCAATTCCAGAAGAATGATATCTCACCCCAGAAGCTTTTCTCTTCCTGGTTCCCTCTTCTAATTAACTACTCAGCTAATTGTTAGAGGATCACCATAGAGCCGGAGCCCAAGGACCATCAAATATATACCAAAGTGGTAAAGGAACAGTAACAATTAAAAGATATCTATACCTCCAGACCAAAAAGGGTCTGGGTTCTGCAAAAAACAGACTTTAATATAACCACCTACTACTGTTAAATGTTCTCAACAATTGATCACCTGTGTCTCCTGGATATTAAACTAATAAAGGAAACAGGTGCCTTAAAATAATCTGTCTCTAATAAAGCTTATCTCAGGTAAAACTTAAGCAGAGTACTAAACACTACAATGGTCACCAGACCAAGACTTTAATTTTCTCATGGCTGCTTCTTAATATGCTTAAAATTTTTCCTTATCTCCAGAAACTAGCTTAAGCCCATCTGACAGGTAAGATCTACTTCAAGATAAGTGCCAAACCCAAACCTTCCTGGTCTTGGAACACTCTCTCCCACCCTGGGAACTCCCCCCCCCCCCCCCAATAAAAATAAAAATAATAATAATGATTATTTTTCCTAAGCTTTTCTCTGTTTCATCAGTATCCTGTCAGACACAAGCAGCCAAAGAATTCCAATCCAGGAAAGATGGACAATCCAGGGTAGCAGACGACAGCCCACCATCCCAGGACACCTCTCTACCTCAGAAGCCCCCTTTCCTATCACCCCCAAGAGCCAACTGACATCCACCAAGTCAGCTGGAAGCAGTTTTCGGGAGAAATGATGCTCCATATCCACTCATCTGCCATCTTTTATAAAAACAAAGAGTCCAGGATGATAGGAATTCCAACCACACCCAAATGGTTGTGTATGCCCCGGTGGAACACTTAGTCATTTCCACCTAGTCATTTCCGGGTCATCCATCCTATGTAACCCATGCGCTACGTGGTTATGTAAATCGCGTGTGGCGTGACCACGTGATCTATGTGCATGTGTGGAGTGGCCATGTGGGCCCGTGTGTGCATGCGCGGGGTGGTCCTTAAAAGGTGGATCCCATGTCCCCTCCCTTTCCTTTTCATGTGTCCTTTCAGCAGGCCTGCCTGAACACATCTATACCTTTCTCCTTGTCTTAATAAAACTTGTTAGTGGGTTTTGTTGTGTTCTGTGACTTTTCCTTGCTAAGAGTGCCGCTAAAACCAACAATAGCCACACTGTTGCCATCACTAGTTGTATTGTGTTGTCCTGGAAAATTTGATTCAAAGGGGGCTCTGGGCTGGCAGGTTGGTATTGGGTAAGGTCATTCAGCTGCCTGAGCAATCAGCCTCTTAATACTCACCATGTAAGAGAAGAAGCACTGAGGATGTGGCAGTCAGTGGTTGAGCAAGAGCAGGGCCCCAGACAGCCCACACTTCTGGCAGTATCTTTTGTGGTTCCTGGTTGCTAGGAGCAGGCTTCTGCTGCCAAGCAACAGGAGCCTGGAGGATTAAAATCAATTTCCTGAGATCATTGGGAGGCGGAGGGAGAGAAGGTAGAATGTAAATGTCTTGGGGAAGATTTTTGCTGCCTGGAAGCCTTGCTGGAAGATGCAGGAGGGTGACTGTGCACCAGGCTGGCACCCTGTACAAAGGCCTAGAAAGATTCTAGCAATTAAGGAATGATTAGAGCACTAATGAATGATACTGCTGCTCCATTGTGAACCTCTAGGGAAGGAGGTCAGTCAGTCCCTCAAGTCTTTCTGAATCACCTAGCCATTCCACATAGAATTGGTCAGGGACTGTGAGGCAAAGACAAGGTCAGAGTGTTTTAGAACTTATCTATATTTTTTTGCCTGGATTGCCTCAGCAGTGGCAGGAAGGTTGTTCACTTCCTGCTAAAGCAGCCCTGCCTGTCGATTACCCTTAAAAAGTGCTTTGTCCTTTTCTACTCAAGTCCTTTTCCATTGAGTGGAGGCCTACGGATCAGGTCTGTCTTATAGTAGATGGGAGTCTACCTCTCTTTTGAACTCCATTTTCCATGTCTAGGAGCCTCAGGGGACGTGCTTGGAGACAGGAGGACCTTTGCTATGGCTTTCTGACTTTTCGTGTGGCACTCCCCACTTGGTCTTACTGACCTGTTTCTTGGAACCATGAGCCACTAGTTCTCATGAACAATTTTTTGTTTGTTTTTGTTGTTGTGTTGAGTTTGGAACCCAGGGCTTCATACATGTAAGGCAAGTGCTTTATTGATGGCAAGGCCATTAATGATGGCCTACATTGCCAGCTCATTTTTAATTTTATGTTGATACAAGGTTCTGTCTAAATTGCTGTTATAAAATGTGGTCCTCTGAGCAAAAAAGAGTGGCTATCTTCATCAGATCATCTGTGCTTGCTTGCAGAAGTCCATGACCATCGGGTTTATTGAGCTTGCTGACTGTTAACATTCCTCCATAGAAGGAAGGTACTAGAAGGTTATTGGGCACTACTGCCTGCACACTGCTTTTCTGATCCTAAAAGTCTCCTGATTTCTGGGAAAGACTCTCCTTACTTTTGGGTTTGCTTGGACTGTGGCAAGTCTGGTTCAGGCTGAAAAATCATCTTTTCCATACTGATGCCCCTTAGTGATAAGCATCATATTCAGCTTCGGTGAATAAGCATTTTATATTTCTCTGCAACACTTTCTCTAAAGTACTATGTACTTACCTGTTTGGTGCTGGAGATTGAACCAAGAGCATTTGCTTTACCCAAACAATGTTCCCAGCCTATTTTACCTGTTTATTTTATTTTTCTGTTTCTCCCCACTACAATACAACATCTGTGAGGGTTGAGATTTTTCTATTTATTGATGTATTTCATGAAGCCAAGCCCCTCATTTATATTCAAAAGTATGTGTTGGTGGTAGGAATGGTACATAGCAATAGAATGTGTCCAGTGGATATGGCCCTTTCTTCAATCCCCAACATCTACACACACACACACACACACACACACACACACACACACACACACACACACACAGACCCCTTGTTTGGTGCCTCACACTTGTAACTCCAGGAATACACATGAAACTGAGGCAGGATGATGCAAGCCTAGGTTGCATAGTGAGTTCTAGGACAGCCTTGGGTGAAATGTGACATTTTATCTTAAATAAATAAAAACGAAAGAAAGAAGATCTGAGATGTAGTGGAACACTTGCATAACATGTGTGAGGCCCTGGACTTGAGTCCACCCCCCAACATCATAAAAAGGTAATATATGTTTATGTTGTCTTAGTCACTGTTCTATTGCTGTGGAGATGCCATGACCAAGACAATTCTTATAAAAGAAAGGATTTAATTGGAGGCTTGCTTACAGTTTCAGAGGCTTAGTTCATTATCATCATGGCAGGGAGCATGACAGCAGGCATGCATGATTCTGGAGAAGTAGCTGACAGCTATATCCTGATTCACAAGCAGAGGGAGAGAGACTGGGCCTGGTGTGGGCCTCAAAACCCACCCCCAGTGACACACTTTCTTCAACAAGGCCAAACCTACTCCAACAAGGCCATACACCTAATCCTTCTCAAATAGGGCCACTCCTTAGTGATTAAGCATTCAAATATGTGAGGCTATGGGTTCTTCCTTCCTTCCTTCCTTCCTTCCTTCCTTCCTTCCTTCCTTCCTTCCTTCCTTCCTTTCTTTCTTTCTTTCTTTCTTTCTTTCTTTCTTTCTTTCTTTCTTTCTTTCTTTCTTTTCTTCCTTTCTTTTTCAAGGCAGGATTTCTCTGTATAACAGTCCTAACTGTCCTGGAACTCATTCTGTAGACCAGGCTAGCCTTGAACTCACAGAGATCTGCCTGCCTGTGCCACCATTGCTTAAGGGGTCCTCTATTCTTATTCAAACTACTACATTCTACTCCCTGCTCCCCATAAGCTTGTAGGCATATCATAATGAAAAATTGCACTCAATTAAACTTTAAAAGTCCCCATAGTCTATAATAGCCTCAACAATGTTTAAAAGTCCAAAGTTCAGCTGAGTGGTGGTGGTGCATGTCTTTAATCCCAGCACTTGGGAGGCAGAGCCAGGCAGATCTCTGTGAGTTCGAGGCTAGCCTGGTCTACAGAGTGAGTTCCAGGACAGCCAGAAATACACAGAGAAACCCTATCGAGAAAAAAATAAAGGTCCAGAGTTCAAAATCTCTTCTGAGACTCATAAACTCATGGAAATAAAAATAAAAAACCCAGATCATATACTTCCAACATACAATGACACAGAATATACATTACCACTTCAAAAAGTAGGAAAGGGAGCATAGTGAGAAATACTTGACCAAAGCAAGACTTAAACCAGCTGGACAACTCCAAACTCTGCATCTCCATGTCTGATGTCAAATGCTCTTCAGATCTCCAACTCCTTCTGTTCTAGTCAGGCTGTTCTCACCCAAGAGAAGAAAACTAGGATGAGGTCTTTATGAATTTGAAGTTTTTATTGAGCCACACAGACCTGGCCAGGGCACACACTCTGGTTGAGTATACGTCTAAAGAGGCAGCCCTGAGTCCATAATGCAAGGAGCTTATAAATGCAAAAACTACAAGTTGGGCACTTTCTTTCTTTTTCTTTCTTTCTTTTCTTTTTCTTTTTTCTTTTTTTTTTTTTGGTTTTTTTTTTTGAGACAGGGTTTCTCTTTATAGTTTTGGTGCCTGTTCTGGATCTTGCTCTGTAGACCAGGCTGTCCTCAAACTCACAGAGATCTGCCTGGCTCTGCCTCCGAGTGCTGGGATTAAAGGTGTTCACCGCCACCACCCAGCAAGTTGGGCACTTTCTGTTGATGCAGGAGTGATGGCTCTTGGCAAACATGACAGGAATTAACTGTTTACAAAAATGGGGCATAGCTATGTTGCCATGGTATCACTGTTCGATCAGGGAGGGGAGCAGAAAGCCTTGTGGTTATAAAAACAGAATAATGCCTGTTGAGTTTTGGTTCCGGTAAGTGCTATGGACACAATATCAACACTTAAATAATCAAGAAATAGAAGCTGAATGCTAGCTCAGATTTGTTAGAATGTCCAAGACAAGGAGAGAATGAAGTGAGTAAAATATTTTGCTATTTCCTGATCCAATCTCGAGCTAAAATTGTGTTAGAGACCAACTCCGGACAGCTGTGTCTTGAATTTTGTGTGACCTTCCTTACTTTATCAAGCCTTGCAAAAAACAGGTTCCTGGCCTAACCGCGGGCTGTACAACTTCCTGGAGTACCTGCTAATCAGCCAGCTGCAGGGGCCTGGGACCAAAGCGACCTCACCCTTCCTTAGGAATTTTCCATTCTTCTCTCCTTTTGCTTCCCCCGCTCCCCCTCCCTGCCTGAAGCCCTGCTTATAAACCTCAATACCCAGTCAATAAACGAGACCTTGATGCGACTCAGACTGACTCTGTCTTCCTTTATGGCGCCTGGTCTCCTTTCTCTCTCGCCCCCATTGATCTTTCAGGAGGTGCCTCCTCGGGTCTCCCCAATAACCTGGCCCGCGGGACGGGTCAAAATTGAGGTCAGCCAGCCCCTCAGTTTTGTAGGACCACTTAGGGCTGGTGTGGTGTAGGTTACCTTGGAGCAGTTTGTAGTCTGAAGCTGATTCCTGGATGGTGTCCATCAGCCAAGTGGGACATCTGCTGGGACAGGTACAGACTAGCGACAAAAGTTAAAGAGGGTAGGGGAAAGCCTTACATTTGAAACCTTCAGGCCTGTGGTCCTGGTAAAACCAGGGGGGAGAACGTCCACCTTTGGGGACAGGCAGTGGGTAGGGAAGCTTAAGCTGTCGACTGATGTGACAGGAGTACTTCTCTGGAGTTCCTTTGACTTGTGACAGATGGATCCAAATCATGACTTTCGGAAGCTAACCTCAATTTCCCAAGGGTTACAAAAAAGATGGAAGTGTTGGCTATATTAACATTACCACTGTTGTAATCTGCACGAAAGCCCTCAAAGTAGGAAAAACAGTTGACAAGTGTCTGTAAACAGATACTGGAGTGGACTCATGCCCCGACGAGCCTTAGCAAAAGCTTGGGTACCCCCCAAAAAAGATTTTTGTTTAAAAGTATGAACATTCTTTCCTCTGTCCAGAGGACTGGAGATGTTTTCAGGACGATGAGAAAGCACTTTTAAGTCTACATTTAGAAAATAACCAAAGGAAACTTAAAATTTTGAGCCTGTGACTATGATAATACTAGCCAGTGTTTTATCAAGGCTAGATTAATAGTTTATTAGAACTTCATTGCTCCATTGATAAATATGTTAAAGCTTTGAACCAAGTCTTTTTTTTTTTTTTTTGGCGGCGGAGGGGGGGGGGCTTTCAAGACAGGGTTTCTCTGTGTAAATCTGGCTGTCCTGGAACTCACTCTGTAGACCAGACTGGCCTTCAACTCACAGAGATCTGCCTGCCTCTGCATCCTGAGTATTGGGGTTAAAGCTGTGTGTCACCGTGTTCAGCC